TGAATGGGGAACAGAGAACCGGCTGACTCTCGGTACATGTATACCCGGCTTTACAAAGGTTACCAGTCAGCCTTCTCATTGCGGAGCATGATGGTCAGTAGGGTGACTATTTCAAAAGATATTAATTAGATAACAGAAGGAGAATCGAGAATCATATAAAGGGATGGAAGGTCTTAAACAGCTGCAAGTTTGGCGAATTAAAAATACTGCTAGCCATCAAATACTGCAGTTGTGTGAAAGGTAACACATTTCACTTAATCTGTTACATATAATACACTGCTGTCAGATTTTAAAGCTTGTAATGTGTGATAGGGTGGTCTGTTTCCTTAAGGCATAGTTTCAAATGGAGTATACCATTATTAGAAGTATGTCTTTTCCATAGAGTATTGCAAAATACAATAATGATTGAAAATCCAGCTGTGTGTTCTTATGGGCTAGTGAATCCAAAATGTTCTTGTCTAACGTGCACCTTTAAGACCCAATTGCAGTTGTATAGTGCTCGCTGTGAAGAAATCTGAATAAACACTTCAAGACGAATAAAAGCCAAACTGAAAACTGTTTTATTTTAGTTTTAAAAAGAAAAAAAATATTTAAAACTTCTAAAAACCTCTTGCTACATTTTAATTTCACAGAAATCATTGTAAATGCTGAGCATAGCTAGATCTGCGCAGGAGATGACACTGTACAATACTATAAGAGGAACACATTTTGAATGGGATAATTCCTCTGCCAATATCCCACCTAGCATGCTGCAAACATAGCGACTAGTATAATGCTATCTATCACCTGGTTCCTCGAACACCAGGGAATCTTCTGTAAACATGTATGTGAGCTTGTATCGTTATGTAATTGTTACTTATCCAAAGTTATTCATTTGGATTTTTAAAACATCTTTGTAATTTATGTATATGCTGCTAACAGGCAGCATTACATTTTTTTTGTAAAGTTTACCCAAATTGGATTATTTCCAGCTATGGAGAAAATGCTGGAGGATTGAATCACTCACCGGCTCCTTTTATCTGTGCTTGTCCTGTATCAACCCTGGAGGTCACAACTCTGCATCATGAAGTCACCCTGACCCAGCAAAAATGTCCATCTTGATGCAATCTTCAGAATATAAAACAAATAAATAGTGAGGATCTCCTGTGATGGCAGTCTGAGTCAGACCATCAGACCTGGCTTTCCAAACACAGAAGTCTACTAGAGTCTCCGAGAGATACAAGCCAAATGTGATTCAACCCCATCATTATCTTCTCAGGATGAACATTTCAAGTTTGGATATATTGACCCTTTATATTAGAGAAAAAGTCTATGAAAAAGTAATAATTCCTATAATTACGATTGTCTTACTTTAACTATAATTTGAACATAAGTCCTGATAAACGTACCAAGGCAAATGGCTTCTTACACACAATTTGGAATGCATTTACTTTGCAGCATGCCAAACTGTACATAGCATACAATGTTCAGGTCACACCTGATGCTGTATGCCCAGTAGGAAATGTTGCTGAATACAAGCCTGTGTGTATGAGGCCATAAATGGTACTATAATCATACAAACATTAATATGACGCAGCAGAATGATTGCCTTGCCATTGTAGAGAAGAAACATTGTGCATGTGAGTGTGTGGGGGAGTTCCTATTCAAAGAGTAAACCCCTTTAGCTTACATTCAGATTTATCCTATGAGTACTGTCACCTATGTAGGCACATTATTGGAGATTGGGGGTGCTTCCACAAGCAGGACACACTCCTTTTGTGCAACTGTTATACATGTCATTACATAAAAGGTGTCACAGACTAGGAGATGATAATTTGATTGTGTTATACAGGGTACACCCCAAGTCCTATCATACAGTGACACCATGTGGTCATCGGTGCTCATTGGTAAGAGCACCAGTTATAAGTAAAGTGTGTACCTTTCTATAGGTGTTCCTTAGAGACACCCAGTGGTCAGTTTGTACAATGCAAGGAGTTCGCCAGCCCTTCATTCAAGTAGATTTAATAACATGCAAGTAAAAAAAAATGCTCATACTGCACTTAGTGCAAGTAAATTTGGCTGGAATAATTTTTATAACTTTTACATGTGTGAAACAGACCCCTAAACGTTATGGCAGCAGGACACACTGGGTTTTATGTCATTGAGAAACAATGTGCAAAGGGAGCACACAAACTAGAAATTGATTTGCCTTTCAGATTTACACTATCCGCATCCCACATCTTCGTGGGATTATGGAACTTCTGTTTCTTCCCACAACACAAAGAACAGACTTCTATCTACCTGGCCTTACTGTGTGAGCACATGCATATGTATGTACACGCATGTACGACTTTAGATGGACAGTAGACTGTAAACTCCTGTTAGTTCAGGGATTGATTAAATGCTCTCTGTAAAATGATATGTGCATATAATAAATATATAACCTATAGCACCCAAACAGACATCAGCATTCATTAGTCCACCTTTACCAACTGCTGAAAAGTAATCTACAGCTCTACTCTGTTAAAGGGAACCAGCATTACAAAGCTGTTTTAGAGAACAATATCTCTAGAGCAGTCATCTAATGCTTCCCAAGTACTTGCCAAGGCACTGACCTGAAACAAGGATGTGCTTATCAAGTATCCCAACCAGGGGCGGACTGACAACTCATGTCCTTGCCCAAACTCAAAAAAAGCCTATGAAAAAGGTACCAGGGGCATCTCATGGGGTCCCCTACTGACCCCGGGCCCTCGGGCAGTACCCGAGTTTCCAAATGGTCAGTCCACCCCTGATCCCAACACTTAAATAGCTACATGATTGTTTGAGGTCAATGACTCATCAAGCTGTGAAGATAGGATTAGAGCCCCAAACCCTGCAACTTCAAACACAACTCAGTCTTGTCAGATTCCTATTTATGAAACATGGTTACCTGTTCAGTACAATAACAAAATTCGGTTCACCCAAAAATATGATACAAAACACTAAAATAATAATAAAGATTTTTGAAACACTCTAGACGCAAAAAAAAGTCACACTCTCTCCCCCCGAAAGTCCAAAGTCAAAATAAAACCTTTTCAGCATCTGTGAAATCCTCAAATCAATCCACCTTCCTGACATCACTCCTTCATAATCTCATTCCATGGCATTGTGGAATTTTGCCATGGAGTGAGATTTAAAGCTATACACAAGTCTAGATAGGGTACGAGTATTTAATACAGCCACTTAGAAGTGGACATTGGATGGAATTTTTGCACACATTATGCACTGGGTTTTGAACTTATTTTGTTTTATGAATAGGGATAATGCACTATGTACATTTTTTTCTTTTTGAGGTACACGTGGATTACGAAGGAATGATTTCATGAAGGTGGATTGATTAGGAGCATGAATTTGTATTGATTTGAGGATTTCACAGACGCTGAGAAGGTTTTACGGTTACCTGTTTAGTTTCCTGGCTATTAAGTTGATTGCAGTTTCTGCACAAAAAAAACCCCCAAAGGCTTCTTTTGAGATATTAAAATGATAACCTCCTACATGCTGTTTTTCTTATCCTAACCCGTCCTCCAGCCCTTTAAACACACACACACACATATATATATACAGTATATATATATGACATTACATACATTTAAAATGTAGCAATGTTTGCACCAAACATTGCATCTATGGATGTCCAATTTAAAGCCAGCCATAGATGGTTTGAAACAGGGACCGGCCGAAATTCGAACCATCAATGAGTAGGCAGACTGTACCCAATTCGATTGTTGTAGGACTTGGGTACAACCAGCATGTCAGACTTTTCATGTGATTATTGCCAGTGGCTATAGCCACTGGCAATAATAATTGTCTTCTCCTAGCAGGGACAGCTCACCCCCACCAGAGAACACAATAGCTTCTTGTTCTGTGACTGTGTGGATGGGGGAATTGAGTGATTTTCACGGGTTGCAGAAAAGGAAATTGCATCTTCAATGGCCGGCTTAAGGAATAAATGATCGGTTTGTGACCTTTATGTAGTATCACATTGCTTTCACTGCTAATTAGGCAGGCCTTCAATGATATAGTGCAGCAGTTGTTGGTTTACAAGGTGTGCATCTAAATGCACTATATTGCACCAACTTTCAACTTTTTAAATGTTAAATTTTTTATATATGCACTATAGGGGATTAGGAGAGAGGGTTGGGTGACTCACAAAGGACCCTCACCTTCTCCAAACACTGAACTGAATGAAAATGTTTTTTTACTAACGGTCTAATAAATAATAGAAATGCAATGATAATGCATTTTGCATTAGTACCACCTGAAACATTTTCCACCGTGTTAAGGAATTCAATTAAAAGAATGGCCAAAAGGCCAGTCAACACTTAAAATCTCAGCATAGAGCACTTTTTTTGCAATATGCTTGCATGAAAAGGTCTTTGTGAAAAAAAAAAGTTTTTCTCCTGTCTATCCATTCTGTTGTTTGTAAAATACATAGCAATGCATCCGTTACAAACACTTGCAACTTGCACTCAGCAGGTGATAATGCATGTTGCATTAGTATTACCTGAAACATTTTCCACCCTGTTAAGGAATTCAATCAATTAAAAGATTGCCCAAAACACCAGTCAACACTTAAAATCGCAGCATAAAGAACTTTTTTTGCAAAGTGCTGGCGTGAAAAGGTCTTTGTGAAAAAAAAAAAGGCCTTTTCTCCTGTCTATCCATTCTGTTGTTTGAAAATACATAGCAACGCATCCATTACAAACAAGCACTGGCAACTTGCACTCAGCTTGTAGGGCAAGCCAATTCCCCTATTCAAGTAGAAAGACTTGAATAAATTATCTTATTAGTCATCTCCTGCAGAGCATCTCAGCCTACTCAGCTCAACCAGAGCAGCCTGCAGTAAAGTGCAGAGCCAAGCTCTGCAGGTTTCTTCTGGTGACACCATGGTTATTTAACATAACAGCCAGCCCCTCTGGACAAACACAAATTGGGGAGGGGCCCAAAAACGGACTAAGGTCACAGAGCCATTTGGCGCCACATCAGTCCTTGGCAGCGGTTTCTTGGCTTTGTGTGTTCCACATGCCTCTCTTGGAGTGATAGTAGTGGAAGAAGTTCCTCAAACGCAGTCGCTCAACTTCAAGCCCATTCTGTAGCACCCTGTAAAAATTTCCAGACACAGAAGTTAACAATGCATCATAAGCATTCCCAATCATTTTTCCAAATTACCAGGAGAAAAACCACTTTTTTTCCCCCCAAACACTGAAGTTTAACACTGTTAAGCTAATCATCAGTTTTAGATGGAGTTCATGCAAGGTGACCATGAGAAAATGACACGGACAGCACGTTATATTATCACTCTGCACTCTGTATACTAAAAGGATATTGTTCTACTTGTGTTTCAAGTGTAATATCGCTGTAGATTTTTCACTTGTGTAGTAGTTCATACGGGAGTTTTACGGGGGCTTCATACTGCCCCAATGCAATTCCGCTGCGTTTTGGTAAATAAGAAACCCGGACAGAAAAACGCCGGACAGCTGCACTTTCCCAGACTTCTATAATGTCCCGTGTGTTTGCTGCGTTTCAGAAAGTTCACCAAATCTCCTGCATGCTGCATCTTTGGTGCACTTTCTGAAACCAAAACCGCAGGACCTCACAGAACTCTAATGGAAGACACAGCTAACCCGCACCAGGATAACTGCAGTGTAGCAAAATCACAGTGGGGCAGTGTGAAGCCACCTTCACCCCTGGTTCACATATATGCAGCCATGCGGGCTGTGTTTTGCACGGGAACGAGAGCTCATTCATTTGAATGGACTCCCGTGCCCATGGCACGCAGGGAAGAAGTCCCTGCACTTCTTTGGAAAACGCACCCCGCACGGGAACCTCAGTTCCCAGTGCGGTTGCGTTTTCCAGTGTGGGCAGTGTGCTATTAGAACTAATGGCACCCGCCCGTGGGTCCGCATTCCTCTGTGCGGGTGGTGTGGCTGCACGTATTTTCGTGCGGATCTGCAGCGGCACCACCCGCACAGCTGTGAACATAGCGTTAAGGCTAGTTCGCACTAGATGCAGTTCAGTGCACTTTTTTCTGCATCAAAAATGCATGCACAGTGTTTTCCATGTATTCCAATGTCCCTGGTTCACACTCAGTTTCCAGTGCAGACAAAAAAAAGTAGGACACGATGCATTTTTTTTCTGCACAGAACCATACTGGAACATAACAAACTGCATCAAAACTGCACCGGAATTGCATGTGGTGTGAACTGTAAACAAAAACTTATCCAGAGTGTATTTTTGTAGTGTGACCTGCTAGAGCACTGTGTATCAATCCATTGCCTTTTTTTTCTGTAAAGAATATAGGTTTTCCCTTTTCTTTTATAATTTGTTACAACTCAGCAATGCTGTTCTTGTGCAGTCTCTTTGCAGCCACTTCTGGTCTATGTGCATAATTGTGCTTGTAATTTCTTGCCGTGTGTGTGTGATATATATTCACACACACACACACAGTGCCTTAAAAAAGTATTCAAACTCCTTGAAATTTTCCACATTTTTGTCATGTAATGTTACAACCAAAAACGTAAATGTATTTTATTGGGATTTTATGTGATAGATCAGCACAAAGTGGCACATAATTGTGAAGTGGAAGGAAAATGATAAATGGTTTTCAGAATTTTTTACAAATAAATATCTGAAAAGTGTGGCGTGCATTTGTATTCAGCCCCCCGGAGTCAATACTTTGTAGAACCACCTTTCGCTGCAATTACAGCTGCAAGTCTTTTTGGGGATGTCTCTACCAGCTTTGCACATCTAGAGAGAGTGAAATGTTTGCCCATTCTTCTTTGCAAATCAGTTCAAGCTCTGTCAGATTGGATGAAGAATGTCTATGAACAGCAATTTTCAAGCCTTGCCACAGATTCTCAATTGGATTTAGGTCTGGACTTTGACTGGACTATACTAACACACGAATATGCTTTTGATCTAAACCATTCCATTGTAGATCTGGCTGTATGTTTAGGGTCATTGTCCTGCTGGAAGGTGAATTCTAACAGGTTTTTTCCATCCATCTTCCCATCAGCTTTGACCAGCTTCCCTGTCCGTGCTGAAGAAAAGCATCCTCACAACATGGTGCTGCCAGTGCCATGTTTCACAGTGGGGATGGTGTGTTCAGGGTGGTGAGCAGTGTTAGTTTTCCGCCACACATAGCGTTTTGCTTTTAGGCCAAAAGTTCAATTTTGGTCTCATCTGACCAGAGCACCTTCTTCCACATGTTTGCTGTGTCCCCCTCATGGCTTCTCAAAAACTACAAACAGGACTTCTTATGGCTGTCTTTCAACAATAGCTTTCTTCTTGCCACTCTTCCATAAAGGCCAGATTTGTAGAGTACATGACTAATAGTTGTCCTGCGGACAGATTCTCCCACCTGAGCTGTGGATCTCTGTAGCTCCTCTAGAGTTACCATCAGCCTCTTGGCTGCTTCTCTGATTACTGCTCTCCTTGCCCAGCCTGTCAGTTTAGGTGGACAGCCATCTCTTGCTAGGTTTGCAGTTGTGCCATACTCTTTCCATTTTCGGATAATGGATTGAACAGTACTCTGTGAAATGTTCAAAGCTTGGGATATTTTTTTTATAGCCTAACCCTGCATTAAACTTCTCCACAACTTTATCCCTGACCTATTTGGTGTGTTCCTTGGCCTTCATGATGCTGTTTGTTGACTAATGTTCTCCCACAAATCTCTGAGGGCTTCACAGAACAGCTGTATTTATACTGAGATTAAATTACACACAGGTGGACTATTTACTAATTAGGTGACTTCTGAAGGCAATTTGTTCCACTAGATTTTAGTTAGGGGTATCAGAGTAAAGGGGGCTTAATACAAATGCATGCTACACTGTTCAGATATTTATTTGTAAAAAATTTTGAAAACCATTTATCATTTTCCTTCCACTTCACAATTATGTGCCACTTTGTGTTGGTCTATCACATAAAGTCCAAATAAAATACATTTACGTTTTAAGTTATACCATGACAAAATGTAAAAAATGACAAGGGTATGAATACTTTTTACAGCTACTGTATATATATTTTTATATACAGTAGCTGTACATAAAAAATATATATATATATATATTACAGGTATTTTGTTTATTACAGTTGGCATAAGTAATTTCCAATTGAGATAACTGTTCTGGTAACAACTGTCGATGATAGCATTACCTCACTTCAGGAAAGAATTCTGTCTCCAGGAAAGAATGTGAGGGTGATTTCTCCTCAAAAGTGAGAAAGACTTGAATAAAATGCCCTACAGAGGTCCAGCCCTTCCTTACTCTATGCAAAACTAGCAAAAAAAAAAAAAAAAAGACATGTTTTCCTGGTGCTCCAAAGATTTTTTTTTTCTTTTTTTAATTGTTTGGAAGTTTTTAATTGTTTGAAATAATGTAGAAAGTTACACTGCTTTTTCTTTCAGCTGTCTGCAGTAAAAAAAATATACTAAAAAGTCACAATGTTTTCCAGGAAAAACTAACTGCCTGGAACACTGTATAGCCAAAATAAGCATTAGCGGATGACTTAAGTTTCAATATTATGTAGCTTAGCAGTGGAAATACTTGTGCCTTCACTGCATAATATAGTGTTGTATCCAACTATATAAATAAAAATAAAAAGCTAAGTTTGCAGATTTAACTGCTTAAAGTTGAGCTTGACATACCCTGGGAGCCAGGCGCCAGGAGGTGGAAAAGTAGAACTTCAATCAAAATTTTAGTGTTGAACGGTTAAAGCTTCTGTCAACTTTTACTGTTGTCAGTAACAGAAATGGTTGGGGAGATTTCCTGTGTGTGGTTACATGGTCAGGAGGTAAGGAAAAACCCTACCCTTGGGGTTGTAAACAGGGATAAAAAAAAAACACCAAGACATTCTAACTCTTCCTCCACTAAAACACAAATTTTACAGACAGTAGAAAAAGCAGCAAAATGCTAGAAGACTGACACAGTGAAAATGCAGCATGAATAATATAGATTAAGGGAAATAAAAGTGAGAGTGTTCTATAAAACTGGATTGCACCTGTCTAGAAGTTCCCAGTCTTCTCCTCCCCATCGGTCTTTGAACTCTTCTGTATTCATACCTCCAATACGATCAAAATCGGACTTGTAAATCCCAAAAAGGCCAAAGCCATTAACTTCCCAATAGCCTGCAGAAATAAAACAAGGCATGAGTACATGAAGAATGCCACTGTGATTATACAATTAAAGATCAAATACTGCACAAAATTATGAGGAAGAGGATGCTGAAGTCAGAAAATTTACAATGAGCTCTTACCATAGAGAGTTTAGGAATTCGCATTATAATATATTTCTCTCATTTATACTGCAATGACCTATTCTGAAATGCTTAGGAGAATAATAAATTCTTTGCTCCACATAGGGTATTCCAAAGACTTTTTTCTATTGAAGGATCACTAAATCAAGTCTTTGTGCTGAGAACAGGAAGATACAGTAAAAACATTACCACTTTTTCTGCAGGACACTTCAGAAGTTATAAAATCTGAAGCGAAAAATTGGACCTGTGGCATGACAACCCAAGTACACATTGGGCATTATTCTCCAAGTACATGTTGGAACAGGAAATCTATAGGTGAAACTCGAAAAATTAGAATATCGTGCAAAAGTTCATTTTTTTCAGTAATGCAACTTAAAAGGTGAAACTAATATACGAGATAGTAAATCACAGGGTAAGTGAGCGCTGTAGTGAAGATAATAAAATTAAAATAAATTAAAAAGAAAGCAGCAGCTGAACACCAAAAGGCACCATATAAAACCTTCAAAGTAGTCAGAATAAAGCAGGGTGCAGCGCTAAAATGATCCGCTAAATCGTATAAACATGATATGTTAAAACATCTTCATATAAAATGCAATATAATAAAAAATCACATAAAATCAATAATAAGGTGCAAATAGAAACGTCACCTAATTGGTGACGGATAGGTGTTGGACACTAAAACCAAATACAGTTTATAGTGTGAGTTGAAAAAAGATCCTAGATGATCTTCAAAAATCCAATGGCTGGATCCGTGGATGAGGTGATAAAATATGTAAAGATTGCGCACTCACCAGATACGCAATCACAATGCGCATTTAGAGTAGGTAACCTCAGGACATCAAAGATCCTTATGTGGGTCTGGTCAGATCTGGTCAGATGCCCCTCACTGCTTGGTAGTGCTGCCATATTTGGAAATACCCGCTCTTTGTAGTCTGTTCCATCCTTCCACAACCAACTGTTGTATAAGAGTTTGATGGTATTCCACTACAAGCCTCATAGCAGCATTCAAGGTTTTCACCAAATGTTTGTCTTTGATATAGCTGACTTTATTTTAGCCAAATTCTCTGCCTTCCAAAAGTACACAACTGCGTGCACAACCTTCAACCTTGCACAGCCATACCCAGAAATGAAACACTTTTGGACTTTTGGCAGTGTGGGCAGGTGCCAAGTCCTGCTGGAAAATGAAGTCAGCATCCCCATAAAGCTCGTCTGCGGAAGGAAGCATGAAGTGCTCTAAAATCTCCTGGTAGACGGCTGCGTTAACCCTGGATTTAATGAAGCACAGTGGACCAACACCAGCAGATGACATGGCTCCCCAAATCAACACAGACTGGAAACTTCACACTGGACTTCAAGCATCTTGCAGTGTGTGCCTCTCCATTCTTCCTCCATACTCTGGGTCCTTGGTTTCCAAATGAGATGCAAAAGTTGCTCTCATCAGAAAAGAGGACTGAGCAACGGACCAGACTGTTTTTCTTTAGCCCAGGTAAGACGCTTCTGACATTGTTTGTTGTTTAGGAGCGGCTTGACAAGAGGAATACAACCTTTGAAGCCCATGTCCAGGATCCGTCTGTGTGTGGTGGTGGCTCTTGATGCACTGACTCCAGCCTCAGTCCACTCCTTGTGAGAGACCCCAACACTTTTGAATGGCCTTTTCCTGACAATCCTCTCCAGGCTGCGGTCATCCCTGCTGCTTGTGCACCTTTTTCTTCCACACTTTTCCCTTCCACATAACTTTCTATTAATGTGCTTTGATACAGCACTTTGGGAACATCCAACGTCTTTTGCAATTACCTTTTGAGGCTTTCCCTCCTTATGGAGGGTGTCAATGATGGTTTTCTGCACAACTGTCAGGTCAGCAGTCTTTCCCATGATTGTGATTCCTACTGAAGCAGACTGAGAGACCATTTAAAGGCTCAGGAACCCTTTGCAGGTGTTATGGCTTAATTAGCTGATTAGAGTGGGACACTTTGAGCCTAGAATATTGCACCTTTTCACAATATTCTAATTTTCTGAGATTGTGGATTTGGAGTTTTCATGAGCTGTAAGCCATAATCATCACAATTATGACAAATCATGGCTTGAACTATCTTGCTTTGCATGTAATGAGTCTATCTCATATATTAGTTTCACCTTTTAAGTTGCATCACTGAAATAAATGAACTTTTGCACGATATTCTAATTTTTCAAGTTTCACCTGTAAAGCATGTCTTGTTAATGTGATGGAGTTTAAATTAACCAGCCGAAGCTGCATGGAAAACACATAATGTGCTGCTATACAAGGGTGAATTACAGCCATAGTAGACCAGGACACTCCGATGAGGCCCAGGCATTTAACAGTTTATATGCTGCATTGTCAATCATAAATTTAGACTGTAAGTTAATTGCAGGCCTAAAGAACAGCTGTGCTTTTAGTACAATTATCCTTTCAAAGATGCCCTCATCCTCCTCTTCCCTAGTCGTAGAAAAAAGGCCCTCTTCACATGGATGTTCCGATCGGGTCCATCTGCCCATTTTTCAGGCGGACCCAATCGGAACCTCTACTCTTCTCTATGGAGCAGCAGGCGTAAACTGACATGTGTCAGTTTACACCCGCCGACATCCAATCTGATCCGCCAAAAAGATGGATGGGATCCGTTGGAATGGATGGGATGGCAGTCGGGTGGAAATGGACAGACAGTCTGTTTCCATCCGACCGCCCATAGTGGACAGCAGGATGTGTTTGTCTCTGCAGCAGTGGAGCAAACATGGACCTGTCACCCACTTGCTCAGCGCAGAGATCCCCTAGCTGGGCATGTGGATCTGCTGATAGAGTCAGCCCCGTATGAAAGAGGCCTAAATGGAGATTGATTCTTCCACATGCTGGAATTCTGCTGAGGCTGTTGTGCCGACCCCTACAGGCCATAGAGCAAGCAGTGAAGGCAGGAAAGTATAGGATTACTGAGCAGGTGAGGTCATTTAAGAGAAGGAGAATGGAAGGGATGGGGTGTCATAATAATTTGCGCTGTAAAGGCACACCATGTACTTTTCCTATTCCCTCCTTCTCCCACTTCAATGCTTACTGTACAAGATCTAACCCTATGTATGTATTTTGGCAAAGATGTGGCCATAAATAGGCTCAAATTGAACAAAGTGTCCCTGTTTAGGCCATGCAGCAGAAGAAGCAGCTCTTTGAAGACCGGCTCAGCATCATCTTATGTTCCAAGAAATTATAATCAGACAAATCTTTATAACCTTTCTAAATTCAATTTCTCATAACAAGATCTGAGTATAGATAACAAGTGATCTGATTTTACTGATAGCATGCTTGATCCACATCAGTGACTTAGAAAGTAGTAAACCCAGAGACCGACAGGTAGTTAGCATTTTCAGGGGGTCAGCAATGGCTGCCTTTATTCACCATTATAGGCTTTCTATAAGCTAATGTAGAAAATAAAGTGAAGCACTTCTACTTTCCAAAAGAGGAAGCATAGCACAGATAGAGAAGGCTGAAAAACACATGGATAGAAAAACCATTTAAACAGGAATCTGCTCTCACCTCTGGGATTCTTTGGGGAGCTACCGCAGCTCAGCCTCATAACGATCGGAGCAAAGGCCAGACGCCCCTCTACACAATGCTTTCTAACACTGTCCAGCACTGACAGAGGGAAATGTATGTGCAGATCACACAGGAACACAATGCTATGATTGTCCTAGAAAACACACACACTAGTTTATTGTAGGGCAGTACTATGTATGAATAGGATTCATTGATACTCCATCCATATGTCACAAACCTGTATAGTGTCAACTCCAACTTGTAGTCCTGCTGCCCGCTCAAAATTTCCACTTCTCTTCAGATACTGATAGCTGAGAAGAAATTGATGGCATTAATACAGGTGGTATTGTGAATTATCAAATACAGTGGCTTCAAATCTGCATTCAGATATAGACATCTGCAGAGATTCAATGGCTTACTTTTGGAAGTACATAAAAACATACACAATACTTTTAATATTTAGAGAAAACTGGTCAGCTCTATAGGATAGCTCTTTATGTAGTACCTAGTGTACTATGCAAGGAGGTAAAAATTGAGGTTTGAATGCATGGTTTGGGGAAAAAAGGCAGGCAGCTTTTTAACCACTTGTCTACCAGGCACTTATACCCCCTTATTTACCAGACCAATTTTCAGCTTTCAGCGCTGCCGCACTTTGATTGACAATTGCGCGGTCATGCAACATTGTACCCATATGAAGTTTTGATCATTTTTTTCTCAAAAATAGAGCTTTCTTTTGGTGGTATTTAATCGCCACTGGGCGCTTTACTTTTTGTGCTATAAACAAAAATTGCAAAAAATTTTAAAAAAAAGTTTCTTTGTTTCTATTATAAAATTTTTTCAAACAGGTAATTTTTCTCCTTCACTGATGTGCGTTGATGAGGCAGCACTGATGGGCACTGATAGGTGGCACTGATAGGCAGCACTAAAGGGCACTGATAGGCAGTACTAATGAGGTGGCACGGATAGGCGGCACTGATAGGCAGCACTAATGAAGTGTCACGGATAGGCGGCACTAATATGCAGCACTGATAGGCGGCACTGATAGGTGACACTGATGATGGGTACTGATAGACGGCACTGACTGGCATCACTGCTGGGCACTGACTGGCGGCACTGACTGGCACAACCGCTGGGCACTGACTGGTGGCACTGACTGGCAGCACTGCTGGGCTGCACTGGTGGGTGGCACTGGTGGGCAGCACTGGTGGGTGGCACTGGTGGGCACAGGTGGGTGGGCACATGTGGGTGGCACTGCTGGGCACAGGTAGGTGGTACTTCTGGGCACAGGTGTGTGACACTGCAGAGTGGCACAGGTGGGTGCATTGCTGGGCACAGGTGGGTGCACTGCTGGGCACAGGTGGGTGATCTGCTGGGCACAGGTGGGCGGAGCTAGTGGGCGCACTGCTGGGCACAGGTGGGCGGAACTTGTGGGTGGCACTGCTGGGCACCGATCATCAGGGCACTGATCATCAGTGCCCTGATGATCGGTGCCGATCCTCGCTCTGACAACTGCCGGTTCTCGGCAGTACTTTCCTCACGATCTGACAGCGTGAGGAAAGTACAGCCGAGAACCGGCAATTGCATTTCCCTGTGATCAGCGTGTCATTGGACACCGCTGATCACGTGGTAAAAGGCCGCTGTGATTGGCCTTTTACCACATCACGTGATCAGCTGTGTCCGTATGACGTCCACCCAGAACTGGCCGGCCGCAGTGCAGCCGTCATTCGGCTATCTGCGGTCGGCAACTAGTTAAGAAAACAAATCTATGGCCATTGTTTGTGTAGTATACATGTGCAGTCATGATCACTTTGCATCCGTTTTGCAGTCCGTACAAAATTTTCAGAACTTCATCTCCTTTCATTGCATGTGTACTCCCACTTCTTGCGACAGGTGGAATATGCACAGTAGACGTAGAGATGATACCATCTGACAGCAGTTGTAGGGAACACAATAAATGGATTTTCACAGGAAAGGATAAAATGGGCATCATCCTTACAAGTAGGCGAGAGGTTTTTTACTGCCAAGTTTCATTTAGGCATTTTTCCTATTTACATGCATGATATTAGATAATTCGGTTTCTGCCATGCTTAAATAACATCCTTAGTAAATGATAGAGATGATCTACTCTGTATATTCAAAAACATATGGACACATGATTGTCACATCTGCCTATATGGCCAAAAATGGACAGCCTTCCCCCCTCATACAATTGAGTTGAGGTGTTCCCAGTTCAAGTTACTGTTAATGCTATAGTATACAAACATTTTAGACAATTTTGTACTTCCATCTGGGGCAATAGTTTTGGGAAGGGTCTTGTCTGTTTCACCATGACTGTGTCCCAATGCATAAAGCCAGGTCTATAAACACATGGTTTAAAGAGTATGGCATGGGGGAATGCGAAGGGCATGCACACATTTAAGAAGAATTGGCAATGCCGATTGTGAGCCAGGTCTTCTCACCAAACATCAGTACCTGACCTCATATTCTCTATTTGCTGACTAGGCACAAATTCCAACATAGAAGCAAAAAAAAAGGCATGTATACATTTTAAAAGAGTCGAAAAGAGATAAAAAATGCAGTTTTTAAACCACTTTGGGACCAACAGTGGACCCTATGAAAAGATCAGAGCAATTTTCCCTGTTCAGCTACTTATCTGACAAAAAAAAATCATTACTTTTTATTTTTTCTTGGCACAAACAAGGTTTTTTGGTGGTATGGTCTTAAGATAATTTTATTTGTTACATATTTATATAAGTCGAAATGAGTTCTTACAGGACTCACTTGAGAGGTAAATGCCCTGACCAGATCCAGGTTGCAAAATGACCACCTCTTTTGTTAAACCAATAGTCAACCTAGCCGGAGCACCCACAATGGAGGAGAGGAACTGTCCATATGTATTTGTCCAGAAGACTTAAGTGAACCTATGCCCAGAGTAGGCACACCAAAGTATTTACATATTCTAAACAAGCATTAAAAACTATTTAAAACATGTGTTCATTCACCACTTTAGTTGTAGGCATTGCAGAAATTTATCTTCATAATTCACAACAGAGGCATGAAACCTTGGCTTAGCAGCCTGCCAACACACAGCAGGCATTTCAAAGTTGTAAGCAACTGACTAAAGTTAGATTCTCAAGAGCAGGTCGGGGAATGTATGTTAACTGCATGCGTTCCCCAACCCACAGGCAAAACATGCTAGCAGATGCGCAGGGGTGCAATTAATGCTTAATATTCTGAATCAGCTGCTGTGCCAACACAAGTGTGAACCTAGCCTTAAAGTGGTGCTAAAGGTTATTTTATTTCTGTAAATTAACAAGCATGTCATACTTACCTGCTCTGTGCAATGGTTTTGCAGAGAGCAGCCCTAATCCTCCTCTTCTCGGGTCCTCCGCCAGCTCTTGCGACCCCTCCCTCTTCAGGTGTGCCCCCAGAGCAAACTTCCTGCGCTCGGGGCACTAGTGCATGCTTGATCCCAAGCCAGCTCTGTGTGTCTGTGACCCACAGAGCGTGGCTCAGTCCTGTTCCCGCTCCCTCCTCGCTGGGTGTGACTGACAGCAGCAGGAGTTGATGGACTCCACTGCTGTGTCTCAGCCAGTGAGGGGAGAGAGAGGCTCCCGTGCACAGCGGTGGATGAAGATCAGACACAGATGAGTAAAACGGGGGCAGGGGGAGTTGTACACTGATGGCTTTTTACTTTAATGCATTGAATACATAAAGGTAAAAACCTCACCCTTTACAGCCACTTTAACCACTTGCCCTCCAGAGGATTTACCCCCCTTCCTGACCAGGCCATTTTTTGCTATTCGCCGCTGCGCTATTTCAACTGGTAATTGCAATGTTGTACCCAAAGGAAATTTTTGTCCTTTTTTCACACAAATAGAGCTTTCTTTTGGTGGTATTTGATCACCTCTGGGTTTTTTATTTTGTGCGCTATAAACAAAAAAAGACCAAAAAGATTGAAAATAAAATATCCAATAAACTCACATTTTGTCATACATTTAGGGCAAAATGTATTTTGCTACATGTCTTTGGTAAAAAAAAATCCCAATAACTGCATGTTAATTGATTTGTGTGAAAGTTATAGCTTCTACAAACTATGGTATAGATACTGGAATTTACACAGCTTTTATTTTCTGACTGCTTATCACATTTCGAGAGGTGCTAAAATACGAGGACAGTACAAACACCCCCCAATGACCCCTTTTTGAAAAGTAGACACCCTAAGCTATCTGCTAAGAGGCATGTTGAGTCTATGGAAGATTTTTTTTTCTACAAGTTTTTGGAAAATGACACTTTTTTTTTTTTTTTTTTTACAAAAGTTGTCATTTAAATTATATATTACTCACACATGCCATAGGTGTATGTTGAATCACGATCAGGATCCACTGCAGTGGATCCCAATTTTGTTTTTATTTCTTTAGTATCAGTATTTTTAACTCTTTATGGGTCTTCTATTTCGGTTGAACCCTGCTCATACATATATGTTACATTATTACATATGATAATTCCTTCCACCCTTCACTAAGTGTTACAGGATTTATGCCAGTGAACCTCAATCTCGATGGCTTTTGTCGTTGGAGAGGAGATTGAAGAAGAGATTAGCTTTCTCTCGGGAACCTCGGGATTCTATAATACCAAAGGTTGATGCTATTAAAGGACTTTTTAAACATCATAAAAAATTAACTAATAAATACCTAAACCGAAGATGGGATATCCTGTCTCTGGAATCGTATATAACCAATGGTATTATCCCGAGAATCCTTAGAGAGAGGGTTATTCCTGCTGATACTCAGAGATTTTTAGATAAATGGAAACAACAATGTATTGACCATGGGTTGGCAGTTATGCGGATAATTGTTGAGGAAGAGAAAATTCAATTAAGAGTTAAAATCGCAAATTGAAGAGAGTACTAGATTACTTGAGCCCTATAAGGAAAATTCTGATTTTAAGAGACTGATTTTATGAGATAGAAAAGGTCCACAAAACTTGCGAACTACTAAACAAACAAAATTTAAAAGAAACTTAGATGGTTGGGCCAGTGAGGAAATATTTGACCTCATTAACCAGTGTGGACGGAGCAGATCCCAGCGACGACGTTACCACTCTCATACACCATTGACAAATAGGCCCACATCATCTGAGAGCGAAGAGGAAGAGTCTAGAACAGTCAATTTTTTAGACGACAATTCCTCATGCTTTGGGAAGGAACAGAGCAGGAACTCCATGATTTCATGACTGAACTTAATGCTAACAATCGGAACATCAGACTTGCATATACTTTTGATCTTAGTGAAGTTCCGTTTCTTGATCT